TTCAACATATTTCCACGAAACTGAGCTTTCCTTCTGATCTCCAGAAAAGCACAGAAAGTGTTCTACAGAGGATTCGGGTTGCCTGCCGTTTTAAATTTGTTGGCGTTTGTTGTCGCTGCTCAGCTTGCATGCAGACGAGCCCAGCCTGGCAGCGGAGCAGCCCAGCAGACGAGCCCCGCCTGGCAGGCGGAGCACCAGCAGACGAGCACAGGCCGGCAGGCGGAGCAGCCCAGCAGCCGAGCCCGGGCCGGCAGGCGGAGCAGCCCAGCAGACGAGCACAGCCGGCAGGCGGAGCAGCCAGCCATGTAGACGACCCGAACCGGCAGGCGGAGCAGCCCCGCAGGCGGAGCACCAGCCGAGTCCTGGCCGGTAGGCGGAGCAGCCATGCAGACGAGCCCAGCTTGGCGGGCGGAGCAACCCAGCAGATGGCTCAAAACACGGCCGACGTGTTGCCGCCTCGCCGTGAAATGCAAATCCAGCGAATTCAATTTACTAATGGACAAGGCTGCAACCTGCGGCAAACATTCGCTTGGAAATCGGAATTTACATTCTGCCGTCTCTTGGAGCGTCATTCTGCCGTCACTGGGAGCGGCATTCTGCCGTCACTGGGAGTGTCATTCTGCCGTCACTGGGAGCGGCACTCCGCCGTCACTGGGAGTGTCATTCTGCCGTCACTGGGAGCGGCACTCCGCCGTCACTGGGAGCGTCATTCTGCCGTCACTGGGAGCGGCATTCTGCCGTCACTGGGAGCGGCATTCTGCCGTCACTGGGAGTGTCATACTGCCGTCACTGGGAGTGTTATTCCGCCATCACTGGGAGCGGCACTTTCCCGTCAATGGGAGTGTCATTCCGCCGTCACTGGGAGCGGCATTCTTTGAAGTTGGCCGTTCTGAATAACGTCATCACGGCGGGGTGTCGCACCGAGCGCTGGATCATTGCGGGGCGTCGCACCGGGCTCTGGATGAGAAATCAGTGGGCAAATGGTGCCTGCTTCAGTTCTAATAACACCTGTTTCTTCCCACAGATCACAGTTAGGTCCGGAATGTAAATGAGCATACAACAGTCGTAGACGTACGAAGATATCAAATCTAGAAGCATGTCCACGGAGAAGCTGACATTGATAACGTTAATGCTTGCATTTCAACGTGCAGTTTCTGAAGCCGAAGAAATGAAGGTATCTGTAAGGGGCTTCATATGTAAAATTACAACAACCGACCCTAACAAGCATAATGTTTGTGTTGGTACCGTACCCAAGTGTTATGGTGTCGTAGTCGGAAACGGAAAGGACTCAACAAGATCAGTATTTCGAGCTCAGCATACACGTGTCCTGAATTATAATCACTTTAGTATGATCTCTCCAGGAACAGGGAGATGATTTATGTTGGTGTAGTTACCATGCGCCCAGATATAGCTTGGTTGCACTTAATGCCGGCTTTTTGTATCCTGACTTGTACAGGTTGCATCGGCAGGCTGCATTACACTCTGCGGGCTGAGTGTGGTGTGCGGATTGTGCCGGATTTGTACATGTGTTGTACGTTGATTGTGTACTTTTCGGATTGCTTGAACTGTAGCTTGTTAGCCGAACCCGCACCTCACTTTGCTTACCGGAAGCGGTCTGAGTTCTTGAGTAGGTACTACATTTGTGCCTGGTGCCTCACATTCACGGCTGGGCACAGCACCCTCACCCGCGTGGCTCTCTCATGCAAATCAGCGTTGTATGTCGTTAGTTTGTAAGCCGTCTCGGTGCCAGACATTTCAATTTTGGCCCACACAAAGTCGTCAGAAGTTGCAGTGCTGTCTCAGACCCAAGACGCGTGACCCAGTAACCTCGACGCTTTTCACCAGGGTCTCTTGCGCCGTGACTGGAGTGCTGTTTATTGATCTGGACGTGTCGACACGACGTGATCCTGCCGGGCAGCGTCACTGTGTTGCTGTCAGGCTCTCTAACAGATAGCGCCAGCTATCTAAGGGAGGGGGTTGGGGGAAGGGAGCGGATAATGAGTCGTGCCGACGCGAAGTGTGGCATTGCGCACATGGTGGGCCCACGCGGACCGTGGCCAGAGAGTCAAAATATCCGGCACACCATAAACGGCAATAATCCGATTGTTGTGTGGCCGCGCCTGCCAGCTTTGATATCTTGGAAGCTATTCTTTATAAAGGTTTAATGGTGGCGGATGATGAGGTAGCTATACGACCTAGCGAATTTACCTGTTCGACTGTCTCGTGTTTGGAACTGTGCATTCTAAGTCATCCGCGTCGACTCCGATGGTCTGTGCACCAAGTTTTCAAAAATGTTCTCATTCCATCGGTTTCATACTTTTACGCATCGTTAGCACGCGTCGTACGGGGGAGGGAGAAGGGCTTAAAGACCCCACTAAGGTGTTTTTGGAATACATCCGGAATAGTCAGGTCATTGAACCTCAAGCTAGATCAAACCGCGACGCTTGTGGTCAGGTATAATTATTTACAGCGTATAATATTGAAATCATGATTGTGGAGTACAGAACAACGGCACATTTTAAAGCGTCGGTGTTGAGACAGTCTTGATGCGCATCTGTCATCAAGAGCATTTTTAGTCCAGGTTGCTGAATTTTTCAAGAGTTGAGGATTCCGGCGAATATGTGCTGCGTAAGTGAAATTGCACGACAGAAAGGGTAAGAGGCCGTCCATATGTTACTCTGCGCATTTTGGGCATTTTCAACGCTACTTCCCTCCCCCCTGGTTATGGAATCGGGGTATTAACACGCGCATTATCAACTTTTATTCCAGACAATATTAGTCCTTTGACTTTTTGTATTCGTCTTTGTTCATTCGACTTTTTGTCCGAACACCGTCCTTACCCACGCGTGCTTGCACAGGTGGCCACCGCCTGCCCATATTCCCCATGTCGCTCTGCCCTGCCCATATCATGTGCGCGCGAATGATGTCTTAGGCATCCTCGGCTGTGCAGCCGTGGTACTGCGCAGACACCACTTCAGTTATTCGCACTGTGTCTGAACACGCATGAACTTATCAAAATGGTGTCTTTAGGTATCCTCGGTTGTGCAGCCGTGGTACTGCACAGACACCACTTCAGTTATTCGCACTGTGCCTGAACACGCACGGACATATACAAATGGAAGTTTGTGCTATTCGTTCACTACAACAATATTCGATTGCCTCAGCTAAGTCGAGAAGAGAGCTGTAACTTCTGCATCTTCGGTGTGGTTTGGCCCAGCCTACCCCAGTCACGCTATTCCTGGGCGTATATGTTTTTTTCAGTAATTAACTGTGCTGCTGAGCGTTTGTCAGCAAAACTCAACACAGTTCCTTGGAAGCCATTCTCAAACATGCCCAAGGAATTAAATGCGAGGTGGGGCTGAGCTTAATAATTTGATGAAAATGCACTTAAGCATACATTTTCCGTGACGCTGAAACATCACCAGATGTATGCTTCACCCGTTCGATTATATTGTAGGCATGGGCTATTTATCCGCAAAAGGCGATGTGAAATGAAGCTCAGTCTTATGAGACCCAAAGTAGTAACGGAGCAAAATCAATTCTGATTGACGAGCCAGGAAACAGTAAATCGTAGCGGCAGAGACGGGCAACGACATGGCGGCCAGTTACGTGTCACTGACGAACAAGCATGGAGTTATTGAGCGCTCGAGGACATGCGGCTTATGTGAAAGGTTTCATGATTTCATGTGAAGCATGCCGCATCGTGCAGGCAAATGCACCGTTCAGGAACCAAGAAGTTAGCTCAGCACGTTCCGACCCCATAGCCATATCAACAATCGGCTGGGAAGCAAACCGTATCGTCATTCTTAGAGCTGGCTTCGAATGCAGTGTTTCCCGGCTTAAGCAGGGAGATTGGTCGCGCGAGAGGTGTACGCGACCAGCTTTCGGCCATACAGCTCATATGTTTATTTTTGGCCACTTTGCGTTTTTGATGTCATTTGATTAATCTTTTCAAATTGAATTATTTTATGTTCACCACTAGTTAAAATTTTTGCAAGCTTTTAGCTAAAGAAAGGGTTGATAGTTTTGAAAATTTCAACCGATAGCTTAGATCTACGAATGACTTATGGCTTAAAAGTAAAAAATAGGAATGACCGAACTTTTGGGAAAGCAGCTGGAAGAGAGCTCAGTTGTGAGCTTAAGCTGGCTTCCATGCCATTGCGAATGCAATCCAGCAGTGGAGCGGGTTCTCTCACATATATGCTCGGATTGGCCCAAGAACAGGTCGGAGTTAGTCCAAATACAAGTCCGAGCTATCTTAACCGCGCAACGTGGATTAACAGCAGCAAACCAAGTGCGAGATCAGATCATTTAAACGTACGTCATTTGCTACACTTTCTCGCCATAGCCCGAAGGTTGGCACGGATTATCACTGTCGGCCTCTTTGGGCTTGCCCATGGGAAGCCTGCACGGATTAATATTTTCTTGAGCAATACAATCTGCTCAGCACTGGTGTGGTTTCGCAAATATGGTGGAGGTTGCAATAAAAATGACGAAATCTTCTCCCAAAGTACGCCAACAAACAGCTTTCTCCGCAAGTCGGCTTCTGTCTTCTGTTTTCTTTTTTTAGGGGAGAGGCGGCTGGATTCAAAGAAGTACGTGCCTGCTGCTTAGGCATCCCGGGAGCACCGATTCCAAAAAGCCCACGAGGAAGCACTACCAGAGTACTCCTTTGCTTAGATCAGGAAGACGCACAAATCATATTTGTATCCGTAACGTGTCATTAAAACCTTGCCCTGCATATGACATTGGTTCCGCGTACAGCCTATTGTCCATCATCCACACTTGGTTTTTGGAATACCACGCGTAGGTGTGTGGTTCGCAGTTAACAGGCTGACGCGCGTACTTCATGGGTACGACACGTGCACGTGGTGTCCTCGCAGAGGAAGAAGTATTACCTTGATATGGTAGCATCCTACCGATTTGTTGTCCAGGACATACATGACGCAGCTCGGACGATCTTGACGCTATTCATTTGACTGCTTAAGGCTTTCCAACACTGCGCATGGTGCAGGGTGTTAGGTTGGGCCGGGAGTATTGCACGCATATAGTGTTGATATTCCCGGCGTTTAGTGACTTGACTGTCATCGCTTGTTTTTAAATCTTAGCGTTTTGTGAAAAAAGATATGAGGTAAGTTCTCAACAGTCCTTCAATTTCCTGAGTGCAGTCATAACGTAGATGGCTGAAACGTGTTGACCATATGGTCCAGTGCTAGGTGGCCACCCAATTGACCGGTCGTATGCTTTCAAATGGCTTTCTCACTATTAGGTTACCCTCATGCTGGCTTATACCTATGCTCGTAATTTGTTATATGCATTATTTTCAATATTTGAGTAGTTGTCAAAGTGGGATCTGGGAATGAAGGTTGCTCCTGAAACTGCTCCCAGGATGCGTGTGTAAAAGTTGACTTTCAAGAAGTCAGTAGTGATAAGCAGTACATACCATTGCTGTGCAGTTGGTTATATAGTGTATCATGCAATGCTATTAAAGATAGATTGCCTGTTTCTATCATCTTAATTTGTAAAACATCTGCCACCTTAGTTTTTCAAAATTTAAACATGTGGTACATTTTCTCTATGCTTCATTGAACAGTATTGTGAAACAACATTGCAGACAAGTGATAGTGTTCCTCTGAGAGGGGCATCATACTATTATTTGTCTGGTAACCACAGAACATTGTCAGGGCTGATGGTCAATGTGTTTGCAGAAATCTTGGGCTATTATGTTCAGAATAGCATCAACTCACAAAGAAGCAGCCCAATTTCTATTTCATAACAGGTATAAGGAGACCATATGTAACACATTGGCTTTTGGACACAAATATGAGCATCATATGAAAACACAGTTGATGCCAATTTTAAATGGTAGCATTATAATTCCAGTACACAAAATAGACTGGAGATGCTGTGCTAGTTCTTTGATTTGGCCTATTGCCACAAGCTGTATTGCAAGTATTATATATATATATATATATATATATATATATATATATATATATATATAAGCTGTATATAGTGATAAGACATATAATAATATGTATATTAAGTATATAAGCTGTATTGCAACCTGTAGTATTGGCATATTGTTGTTGATGCCATCCCTGTATGAAGGGAATGATAACATGTGATTATTAAGCAATAATACTGTACTTATGTTGCTTTGTGGTACATAGGCTTGTTTGTGTGGTATAAAACTTTGTATAAAACCTCCCTTTTAGAAGTTAATTCTTGTGTAATATTGAGCCAACAAATATTGTTTTTTGTTTAATCATCAGTCCTTTTCAGTATCATGTGCAGGAAGTTACATCATGGCTTTTGTGATAAGTGTGTGCACTCTTGAGAATGACTGTCTTTTTGAGAACTTTACTCCTAGGATGAACATCAAGGCACTTCAGCAACACTCTGTGCTCATTGAGTTGTCATTTCCATATGTTTTTCATTGGATCAAAGATTATCCATGTTGAGTTCCCTTGCATAATATTCTTCTATCACCTGAGTTGCCTGGTAAAATGTGTAGTGCGTAGGAAATATTACCAGTAGCTGAATGACAAGTTCTGCTTGGAAATTTGCTGAACTTTCCATTGAAGTGATCATCTGGATTATTACCATGTTCCTGTATCAGTATATCTATGCACTAGATTTGCAATCACAGTGAACAGGTTATTTTTATTTATTGGACATCTTCTAATGCCAATGGTGTATGTACACCAAAGGTCGATGGTGTATACACAGTGGATGAGGATGCCTTTTTAGCTGCCAATCAAAGATCAGTGGCATTGCAATCATAGGTATTGATTTTGTCCTCAAAATAATGATGTTTGCATTGCCTTGCCAGAAGTCCTGAATGTATTAGAAAACTGAAGTAAAAGAAGCATGCTTTCTGGCTTCATTGCTGAAGTTTTCAAAGCTACTTGAAGTAAGGAGGTAACTGCATACAATTACCATTACCTGATTGCCTACCAATGTAAGAGGAATCAGACTTGCTCCCCCCCCCCCCAAATCAGTCCAGAATTGCATGCAAAGAAAATGGGTATGCTCACCTTATTTTGATGGCCTTCAGTTTTGCTTTTTGCTGTGCATCACCATGATTGAATTTGTACTTTAACATGGACCTAGTGAGGAGTGAGAGCCTCCTTGTCATGCTTCCATTGTGGCGATGGCGGTCTGAGTTTGCACTGTTATGGCTGCAGACAAAACTCAGAAGTGGCATATTTCAAAGCACTCCATACAAGCTGCAGTTTAAAACATTTTGTTGAATATGAATTATTGCATATGAACATCATTTTCACATTGCATTCATGCTACAGGCACTTTGCATTACACCAGGCACACTGTGTGACAATATAGGCAGCATGGGCACACATTGTATGGCAGTGTAGGCTGTGTATGGCAGTCAATGCAAATGATCAGCTGAGAGCCATGCTATAGAGAATAAGGGGGTGGGGGCGTTAGGGTTAGTGTTGGCCAATTGATGTACTGAACTGCAAACCTTATTCATAAATAGTTGAATATCCATTAAAAGAGGTTGAGCCTTTTATTTACAACTTCTAATTTTCTTTTCAGCAGCTTGTTGGTAGGGGTGTTATTTTCGTGGGTTATGCCATCTGAGCTCAAACCTTTTCTAACCTTTTCTCCTTTTCAGCTCGAAGGTGTCCTTCAAGATTACCCTTACTTCAGATCCGAAGCTGCCGTACAAAGTGTAGGTTGCATTCAAAATGCTATTGGTGTTTATGTTTATCTGGCATTGCTTAGCTTTAAGTGAACTGATGGATGAATGCAGCCAACCTAATCCATGAATGAATCAACTATGAATCAACCTAAAACTCGAGTAAACACAAGTGCTTTGTTTACAAGTGTTTATAAGTGTATCACGGCACTTCACACTTGGAGGCCATGTGTACGAGTGACCGTGCTGGACGCTCTGATGCTGTGCACGCCTTGGTCAGCACTGCCTTGTGTCCTGCAGCCTCAGCGTGCCGGAGAGCACGCCGTTCACGGCCGTGCTTAAGTTCGCCGCCGAGGAGTTCAAGGTGCCTCCGGCCACGTCCGCCATAATCACCGACGATGGCGTGGGCATCAACCCCCAGCAGACGGCAGGTGTGTAGGGTAACACTGTCCTCATCAACCCGCAAGCGGCAGGTTGTGGGTACACTGTCCTCATCAACCCCCCAGCAGACAGCAGGTGTGTGGATAACATGTCCCCATCAGTCACGCCCCAGCCAAGCATTTGGGGTAGGTAACATGTCCTCATCAACCCCCAGATTCCAGGTGCAGTGTGTGGTAACACTGTCCTCATCAACCCCCAGCAGCGCAGGTGTGTGGGTAACACTGTCATCAACCCCCCAGCGGCGGTGCATGGGTAACAGTTCATCACCCAGCAACGGCAGTTGTATGGGTAACATGTCTTCATCAACCCCCAGCACAGGGCAGGTGGCTGGGTAACACTGTCCGCATTAACCCCCAGCAGACAGCGGGTGCGTAGGTAGCACTGTCCCCATCAACCCCCAGCAGATGGCAAGTGAGTAGGTAACGTCCTCGTCAACCCCCAGTAGCTGACAGGTGCGTGGATAACACTATCCTCAATGGCGAGAGAGGGGAGCATATCTGAAAAACTAAATAGAGCAATGCCGCAGGTCATCGGTTCAGGAGCGGTCTGACTCGTCCTGTGCCATGTTTTTTATATACCGTTGCCCAGGAACAGGTAGCCAGGAATGTCCCTTCCTCTATCCCAGCGACGCAATAAACAGTGCGTTAACACTAGAACACATTAAATCAAGTCGCAGCACTCCCAGCTGAGAAAAAAAAGCAGGCGAAAAGGTGGTGCAGACCCAGCGGTTTTGGTGTCATGCAATAGCTAAGGACAAATCAAACATTAGAAGGCTTGAAATAGCCATAGCCAAAGTCATCTGATGACAGCCCGCTGAAACCACTCAATAAACTACTAGCACTCATTCACAATGCTGCTAAAGGTGATCTGTCACACAAGTCGGAGGGCCATTATCTGGTCACTGTCATGCTGGGTCTTGGGGTGGATCTCCAGGGAGTCCACTCAGCTATGTGGAGCCCGTCACTGAGAGAACTCCTGTAGTCAGCGTCTTGAATTTGGCTGCAAGTGCATGCACACGGATAAATAATAATGTGACCATGAAACATGAGGGGGGTGAAGTGGGCAGCGAGTTACATACCTACAGGGCAAAGCCAATCAATCACTGCAATGGCTCCAAAGGTGTTCGTTATGTTAAAGGGAATGTTTCACATTTGAAGACATTGAAGCAAACAGATATGATGGAACAAGCTCACTTATAACCAGTGCTATGCATGCGGGGTGGAAAAGACTGCTCTGGACAGCACAATTCTCTGTTTAATAAATATTTTCCTCAACATTGATTGAGAGCCAATTGACGGCCGTTAAATGTGGAAATCGTGCTCACGGACGCCAGATATGAACGCCTGAATATTTATTATATGTTTGTTGGCCTTGATCGCCACGTGGCGTACGGAATGGCAGGATTTGAATGACATTATCATGACGTCGTGAATGCCAAGGTAACTTTGAAATACTCTTCCCGATATACCTTTTCTCATTTTCGTGGACGTATGGCTCAGAAGCCAGAGGGGCTTTGGTCTCAAGAAATGCATGTTTGTGAACGGCAATAAAAGGTCTTTAAGGTTGCTATTTTGGTTCAAAATTCCGTATGAATGTGGAACATTCCCTTTAATATATAGTGGCGAAAAGCTTGCAGATGGTGTTTTCAACGATGATTTTTTATCCACGGATATCAGCTATTCGTGGAAAATGTGAAATCGTAACAGCGTTCCACAGCTTAGGGGCAATGAAATATTTTGTAAGTAGCCTATAATTACGCCTTGAGAATGTTAAACCATGTCGCCCCGTATGCTTTGGTGGTGCGCCGACCTCTGGAGCAGTGTGAAATAGTGCCGCGCCTGTGCCACTCCTCACCGAGCCCGGCCCCCTCTCGACAGGCACGGTGTTCCTGAAGCACGGCTCGGAGCTGCGCCTCATACCGCGCGACCGCGTGGGATGCTGACCCCGTACCTGTCGGGCGGTGTCGAGCTGGCGGCGGCCGGACAGCGTCCAGCGGGCGGCGGCGCCGACAGCACCGCCGCTCTCTGGTGGCAGCGCTGCCGACACTCTGTCAGACGTTCGTGCTGTCGACACCATTCCCCAATGAACGTGACTCGCTTGTGTTTTGTGGTGGCTGCTGTTGAATTTTCATTATTTTACTAGCATAAATAAGCGGTCGCACCGAGCGCTGTAGCATGTACGTACCGGTGCGAACCCGTTTGCCCACTTTTCCAAATTAATAAACGGATTTTGTAGCGGGGTCTTTTTGGTCCGCGGGTAACAGGAGCGGTGTGGGGGGAGGGGAGGGGGAGTAGCTCCGATGCGGGCAGTGGACGGCCGTCGGTCGACTGGTAATGGTGCGTCGGCCACCCGGACAGCGGCCGCGGCACGGCACGGTGCCGCCGGCCTACAATGGCCGGCGGCACGGCAGCGCGTGATTTATGGTAATGGGTGCAGAGCGGGCCGGCGGTGACACGGCCTGGCTGCCGGACCACTCCGTAGACCGAGATTGAAACAAGCGGCGCCGCCGGTCCGCCCGCCCCGGAGCGACGCGTGACGCTAACGCGGCTAGACGGCGGCGCACGGACACGTGATATACTTGGAGCAAGCAAGCGGACGGGCGGGTCATTGGGCACCAGGTGGCGCACGAGCAGGTGGTACATCGGGGAAGAGGTGGCGCACGAGCAGGTGGTACGTCGGGAAGAGTGGCGCACGAGCAGGTGGTACATCGGGAAGAGGTGGCGCACGACCAGGTGGTACATCGGGCAAGAAGTGGCGCACGAGCAGGTGGTACATCGGGCAAGAAGTGGTGGACGAGCAGGTGGTACATCGGGGAAGAGGTGGCGCACGAGCAGGTGGTACATCGGGGAAGAGGTGGCGCACGAACAGGTGGTACATTAGGGGAGAAGTGGCGCGTGAAGAGGTGGCACATCGGGGAGAGAGGTGACGTGTGACCTGAAACAGGTCACGTATCGACCACAATGCACTGCAGCCATTTTTCTATGATTAGTCGTCTACGTAATGCAGTAGTATCAAACTTTGGACGCGTGCGAAGTGGCCTTTCTACGAAAGTGTTGCCAATTTTCTGCGTAAATGATCCAAATGACGACTTGGCGCACACTTGTATGGCTCGAAAGTAGCCCGTGGAGTCGCAGTTCCTTTCAACACGAACGACGCGCGACCAGGGATATGCGGACATGGTCGGGTTTATGTAAGGTGCTAACGAGCGAACCTGGTAAATGTGGATGTGTCTTGATATGTGATGAGTGCTAAAAGAAAGGCCATGTAAATCTTCAGTAGGGGGCGCAGCCAGTGACTAAGGCGGAGGAAGGCGGGGGGGGGACTAAAACTATTTGCGAGGGGATAATTTTTTCGAACGAGTCCCAGCTCCTTCGACAGTGCCTGCGCATTGCGAACAGACCAACAGATACCACAGGCGCTAAAAGGTACAGTGTCTAGCACATGAATGGGCTACCGATATTGGGTTGCTCTGGTGCCCAAACAATCGCTTCAGCGTCGTACCGTCCATGTTCGCTTGGCTTTCCTCTAGTCTTGTTGCTAAATGACGGCTGTTGGCCTCTACATGTTGCTGTCCACGGTGCTGGCTGTAATATTTATACCCAATACAGCTTTGCTGATCACCGAATCGCGCAATTATGCCCAGCGGTGCCTAGATGAAAACGGCACTCGAGCCTGACGGGGAAGCAAAAGGCCCATGAGCTGCACTGTCGCTTCGCAGGACCAGCAAAGTCGGGGAAGTTTTGAAGTTTCGAAGAAGAAGTTTCGGCCTTTCTTATCTCCGATAAGGAAGGCCGAAAAGGCATCATCGAGCAAACAGATAATAGTATGTCTCCAGTTTGCATTGGTACTCCGGACTCCACAGAGCATTTGATGTTACCTTATTTTACAACCCACCTGACAGACTGGAGCTGTCTATTGAACACAAATCCAAAGGCGTGTTGTGTTTTTCTTTCCGTGCATACCAGATGAGCAATCCGTCTCGCTACATCGGGACAGTAGACTGCCTCACGGCTGAAGCGCGGAGAGAAAAACACCACGTGCGTACAAAATCCGGCTGAGGAATTTTTGAATGCTCAGTTCCCACCGCGCCCGCCCGTCCTCGTTTATGTCGTAGATCCAGCAACCGTGGTTTGTGTCCGCCGACCGCCGGGGGCGTGGACGGCAGCGGATGGTAAAAACCACGGCATAACCGTGTGTAGTTAGGGTTAGCCTCCGCCGGTCGTGATCGACGGACATCAGCTGCCTTCGGATTCCACAAACGTAAACGAACATATTCGGGTGCGATGGGGACCCGGCTTCAGTCCTGCTGAGCCATTCGTTACTGGAGCCCTGGTTTCAATCACCTGTGAAAATCAAAGCACTCCTGCACGTTAACAAGTAAAGCATTGTCGGCAGCAGTGTGAAACAATAACGTTGGTCTCGCCGGGAATTGTCCCATCCTGAGTTTAATCCCAGGAGTGGTAGAATACTATGTGTAAAACCCACCAGCGAAATCAAAAGATGCTAACTTAAGGTAGTTGGAGAAGTTCAACATTTGCATCGAATGCTCCGATGAAATTCACCAGGTCCAAGAACAGCGATGTATAGCCTACTGTGAATGATATATGCCTACGCTTTCTCGTCGATTCGTCATGAATGCAAATGGCTTGTTTGCGGTTTGCTGCTCCAGAGACTTATTACGCTTCTGTGGGAATAATTGCGCAGCGGGAGAAACGCCAGATACCTGGCACTGTTCGCGTGGGTTCCGGTTCAACATTGTTCCAAGTGCGCACGAGAACTCGCCTCCTATAAAAATGTAAATTTGCCGCCATCCAATCTGCTAATGGAATACTCCGTGGTAGCCGTGGATTGAATATTCTTCATTTGCATCCTGACCATAGCCACGCGCCTATCCCGCGGGATGGTCCCAAACACGGCAGCGACGGCCGCGCTCGACGCGAGGGCCCTGTAATTGTCATTACAGACGGATCCGAATATCCCAGGAGCTTTTCGTGATGCCATGCGGGCGTCGTTTGTTTGCCGCAAACGCTGGATTACCCGCACGGCTGAGGCTTTCGTAATTGCCGCTGGACCAGCCTATGCCGTACAATGCAACGTTCATCCTCGAAATGGAGGACTATTTATGCAGGAGGATGACGTCCTTGGTTCATATATCCGCGTATATATATATATATATATATATATATATATATATATATATATATATATAATATATTATTAAATATATCTGGGCCCAGCCATTGTGTGCGGTTTCCACGGTTATCATGCGATTCACCTGAAGACCACGTAAATGACCAATCAATGTTGATAAGCTGTGCTTTGTGTTCCCCAACATTGTGGGGTAAATTTTCCAGTGAGCCTTGCTACTTATTTGAGTCACGTTCGTTAACCTAATGGTGGACGTTTGCGCTCACATTGATGCGATGTGCTTTTTTAAAATGCAAGATTTCGCACAAAGGTGAAGCAATGCGTTTCTTCGCTTCTAAACAAAAAAGCAAGATTATACTGAAAGCATGAATGGTTGGATGCGAGAGGAAGGTGTTCATTATAAATAATTTGTTTTCTCATAAATTTGATCCGAACCCTTTGAATGAATGGATTTCTGGGATCAGTGCCCACGCTAAGCAGTGCTTGTTGTGTGAGCTCTGACCCCTACCATCCGATCGCGCAATCCCAGGCAACGGCAGAATTTAGTGGCGAAAGCTTAACGTGCCGCAATGCTCGGCACGGTCCGTCCTGCCCTCTGACGTCAACTGACCTTTAGCGCGACCGCTGCCACCGGCCGCAGGCCATACCTGTCAAGGGCAAATAGCGAGCGCCCTAAAGCGACTCGAACCCGGCCTACCACGGGTGGGTGGATCGGAAGGCAGGCGCTCTAACCAACTGAGCCAATGGGACGGACATATATAATGGATAATGACATTATATATCATACGTTTGCCACTGGATCTGTCCAAATCTTTTGATGTGATGAGTCATGTTAAGCCTCTTGAAAAACTGTTGCTTCATGGTGTTGACCCTGACTGGTTTGAAAACTATCTTCGCAACCACAGGCAGAAAGCAACGTTCACCTGTAAACATCTTATTGAAATCACGACCGCTTGAAAATCCAATAGGGAATTGTCAGTGTAGCGCTCCCGGTCCGTTCATATACAATACTTTGTCAAGTGACGTCACCCTCCATGTGGAAGACGGTGTCCATGTAGTCCAGTGCGCGGACGACGCGCAAATAATCGCAACCGGCAGAAAGCTGACTTGGCTGACTGAACTGAACTTACAGCGAAAATGGAACAAGCAGTCTCCACACTATACCAATGGTTTGGACAGCACGCTATGAAGCTGAATGATGGCAAAACCCAGCTTATCGTCACCGAAGCTCAGCTAATGGTGCGGCACGAGACTCCCGTCTAAATCCACGTCCTAGGCAGCGCGATTGAGGAGAGCGGCACGACACTTAACCTTGGGTTGACCTTCGACCGATCGCACACATTCCCAAAGCACATTGTCAGCATGCAAGTAAGCTACAATGGCTGCTTGTGGCCCTGTGTCATTTAAGGCATATCATGCCCAGTGCGCATATCAGCGCAATAGTATGGAGTTTAGTCATCTCTAGAGTTGGCTACTGTATATCTATGTACGCCAGCGCAAGCCAGTCAAACTTCAGAAAGGTCCAGTCAATCATAAATTTTTGCGCGAGGGTCACGTCGCCGGAATTTCAGCCATGTTTCTGGCGTGGTAAACCCAAACCCAGCCCTGAATGAGAGACGGCTGGCATATTACCACAACGTAGTATTTCTTTCTAAGATCATAGTCAACAGGACAACCATCAGCATTGGCGAAATATTCTCAGCACAAACATCGACACGACAGGAAGACGCGCCCACCAGCCACACATCAGGCTGACTACGGCGCATGCGCACAGTTGCAAACGGCTGGTTATCAGACCCCTGTCGACTACAAGCTCCTGCTACACTGCGTTAGGGCCCTAAATCACTCGTGCTTTGCTGGCACAGTCAGAGTTCCTACATGCCATCGGGGCGTAAGCGCGCGTTTGTAATAGATGTAAGGTTATGTGCCTTTTGTTGATTGAGTGAGCGTTACTGTGCCCGGAAATGTTTTAAGACATGACATAGCGCACCAATAACCAAGCGTGCATTTTACCTGCTTGTGGAATGCATGATATAGTGGAATGTGTTGCAACGTGTTGTGTGTTGTAACACATGCATACACATGTC